ACTTCATCAGAATCAGTGAAATGTCAAAGGGCAATTAAAGCTCTCTCAATTTGCATTAAGATATTTTTTACTGATTGTAACATGTTTTCTTTAAAGATTATCAGTATTGTTCTTATCACATGTATGTTAACTGTGATAGTTATTATTTATGTTGCTGTTATCAGTTACCAATATATATTTTTTCATTATTATTATTGTTGTTTTAATTGTTATCATCAAATAGTATTTATTATTATCATTATTATTTCAATATATTATTATTTTATTATCTATTATTATCATTATTATTACTATTTTTATTATTGTTATTGTAAATGTCATTACGATCATTACTATCATTACTTTTATTATTATTATTATTATTATTATTATAGTTGTTATTCTTAATATTACCATTATTATTATTATTGTTTTATTATCTTTATTATTATTATTGTTATAAATGATTATCATTATTATTATTATTACTATTATTATCATTATTATTATTATTATTTATTATTATCATTATTGTAGGGTTCGACATTTTAATTGTATAAAATTTATCTTCTAATACAAAATTTATCCTGTTTTTATACTTTTTCGACAAGCTTCTAGAAGCGTGGGGGTACTGCTGGGACACGTTGCCACCTCAACTGTTATTATTACTCTTTTTATTTTACCATCAAAAATCTGTTCTTCCAACACGACTTTCTAGCCAGAAGTGCTGCCACCTTCCGGATTTTGGTTGAAACTAGAAGGCACCCCAAAAAAAAAACCTGTATTATGATATCAATTCAGTTGCTTAACCTAACGGTCTTTAAGGCTCGTGGGGTGGGAATGGATTCGTTCCTTTATTAAGTGTGTCAAATTGTAACGCTTATGGAAACATCTGTAACCATGAGTATCTTATTCAATAACTAAGCAATGAACAAACGGCATATTATTCTAAAATCTTAGCAGTACAACATAATAATTATAATAAAAGTAATATTCTCAAATAATGCGATCTATATCTGAGGTTAATTCTACATACCCTCCCTTCTCCTACTAATTATGAATCAATGAGATTTTTAATAAACATAATAAAAATATATGTGAGACGAAATAGACGAAATAGAGACCCTTACACCCAGTCTAACCTGTATTTTCCATGATTTTACCTAGGACATTTATCGATCATTCCCCTTCCTTTCATCTTTATAATTTTCCTCTCTCAATTCCCTTAATAATAATAATATCCTTCTCAATTATTCACCGATATTGCCGGAACTGTCACCTGCGACTACTTCCGTATGTACCTACGGACCATTAAAATAACTACATGAATAAAAAATATTTCTCCTAGCAACAAGATATTATGGCAGTTTTTTCTCATCATTTCTTCACTCTGTTCACCGAGAGAGTCAGAATTCGTCTCAATTATCACAAATCGATACAAAGGTTTAGCAATTACGTTAATAAACTTATTAAGTACTGCAATCTATTTATATGAGGGGGAGAAATGTGATTTTAAGTACTAGCACTCAGCTTACCTGTTCGCGGGAGAGAGTCAGAATTCGTCTGGCGAGAGATCGTTAAAATAACGAACTTACTGCCTTCTCCCAAATGAATTGCTAGCATTAAACATACAAACCATTTATAAATGATTATTAATCTACTCTTACTTCTTGGAACACTAAATTTTGCTATATTGATGTCTTCAGATAAAAAAAAAAAAAAAAATGTAAAAATGTTCCGTGACAAATGTACATCTTTTTCAAATCAGAGAGAGAGCACCTTTAAATGTCGAATAAATAATAATCTCGACATTATCGTTATTATTATTATTATTATTATTATCATTATTATCATAATTTCATTGTTGTTGTTGTCGTTGTTTATCATTATCATCAAAATCATCCTTACTTTTTACTCTTTTATTGTTAATATCATCAATACTATAACTATTGTTATTATTTAATACACTTAGTGTTATCTTTAGTATTCTCTCTCTCTCTCTCTCTCTCTTCTCTCTCTCTCTCTCTCTCTCTCCTCTTCTCTTCTCTCTCTCTTCTCTCCTCTCTCTTCCTCTTTCAGGTGAGGCTAACCAAAGTTGCCTCATCCTTTTGAGATGTAAACGTTTGTCTCAATAACTTGTCAAAGTCAAAAGTATCCCACTCTCCTTCCATCCATCCTCCCTCTTACTTCGTACATTCCTGTCCTCCACCTCTCTCTTCTCTCTCCCCATCTCTTCCCTTGTTTCTCTTCTGTCTTTCCC